ATAATATATTAATAAATATATTATAAAAATATATTATACGCATGATCGAGAATTATTTTTCAATTTTCAACTTCATTCGAAATATCATCAAAACTTCGAAGTTACTTTTCTTATATTGCAATAAATATAATTATTATATTATAAATATATTATATAATATATTATACGCATAGAGAATTATTCGTCAATTTTCAACTTCATTCGAAATACGATCAGAACTTCCAAGTTACCGACATATCTTTCTTATCTTGCAATAAATATAATTATTACATTATAAATATATTACACGCGTAGATAATCGAGAAATATTCGTGAAGGATTCCTTCGAGCCTTATTTTCCTCGATATTTGATTGATTTAAAATTTTTTGTTCGGTAGCGTGGGAGAAGATTGAAAGATAAAGAAAGAGAAACTCGATACAGTGGCTCGTAAGCGGATTCGCCCTCGTCAAATTTACCAAACGCTCGTGCGGTCCGGCTGATATTCCGCGAATGGAAAAGTTCGTCCCGCAAATTCGTTCGATGGAATTATATTGTCAGAGGCTGGCTGCCTTTGCATTTGTAACTCTCTCTAATAGCGAGGATCGTGCGTCGAGAAACGTTCCATCTTCGTGATAAAGGAAGATGTATATATTTTCCAACATGGTGGAAAGATTTGCCAATTCATACAATTATTTATATAGTTATTTAACTCTGAAATCCAGTGTGTAAAGGAATATAAATTAAAATAAACAATATATATATATATATATATGAAATTTGGTAATTTAATTCGAGATTGCGCGCAACGTAAAGTCCACAGTAATCTAATCTCGAATAAATTTTATCAAGAGCGCGGCCTTAAGAGTCGCAAATCGCTAATATATTTTGTGTTAACGTTATTCTCGCGTGCGTATTATTATTCTTGATATTATTATTGTGTGTACACGTTCGAATGGTTTTAGTGGCAAAAAAAAAAAAGGAAAAAAAGGGGGAGGAGGAGGGAGGGGGGACCAAGTGTTCGGAAAAAGGGGAATAGATGGAGTTAAAAATAAAAATTGTTGGTCGTTGGTGATTTATGTTGCTCGACGTTTGAAATACGGAGATTGTACAGGACGATTCTATAAACTGGGGCGAAGCTATAGCTCTCCCCTGGCCGAGGAGGGGAAATTGAATGGCTTAACGAGCACTATTTTTCTATGCTGCAATGATTTTCCTCTTGCAGCGCGTCTCTTTTCTCTCTCTCTCTATCTTCTTCTTTTGATATCACGTGTCTCTTAACGAATCGTTAAGACTTTCAACGCTGTTGCGTTCGTGCAATGATTTGAGAAGACGATGAAAAGTGACGAGATAGGATGAGAGAAAATTTTTAATAGATTGAAAAAATTTTTAGATTTCATTCATTCTCCCGAATAATCCACTTCATCTGGGAAAAATTGGAATTCCAAATATCCCTAGACAACATGTCTATCTCATGTATAATTCATATCGATTCATATACGAATAATGACGGTTAATAATATTTTATAACTCGTCAATATCGATTTGTGAAAATAATAATACGTCGATATATTCAATATATTTGAACATTTTGAACAATGTCCATCATCTCTCGCGCGTAAACATCTAAAATCCACGAAAAATCTATCAAACGCCTTTCTCGATCGCCTTTAAACTTCGTTCGAACGGAAAATATTATCCCATAACGCACAGTGATAGAATTGGAATTTCAAATATCCCTAGGCAACCACCAAACATCTCTCGATTACTTCTCAACTTTCTAACAGATAAAAAAAATATTGCCCATACTCATGTTTTATAGCGAGTGAATCGGAATTTCAAATATTCCTAGATATCTCCATCGATCCCTCTCGTCGAAACGATCTTCTAACCGATAAAAACCCGAGAAGAAGTTATCGTTCTAATTATTCGATCCACGAAATAGAATAATTTAAAACTCGTGACAATCTATAAAACACCTCACCTTCAAATTTTACTTGAGCAAAGATATTTATATCACGTAGGGAGAAATATCAGAGCTTCAAATATTCCTAGACTTCAATAACCGAACGTCGAAACGATCTTCGTAATAAAAGAAGTTATTATTATCGTCCTAATTATTGGATCCACAAAATAGAAATATTTAAAACTCTCGATCAAATTTTACTCGAGCAAAGATATCATCTATGTCATCTAACTAGAAAGTTAAGAATTTCAAATATCTCTAGACTCTTCCCTCTAATAATAACCAAACATCGAAACGATTTTTGTAATAAAAAAAGTTATTATTATTATTCTAATTATTGGATTCACGAAATAGAAAATAATAAAACTCGTGACGATTTCTCGATCACCTTCAAATTTTATTTGCAAAGATATTATTTATATCACCTAAGAAAGTCAGAATTTCAAATATTCCTAGACTCTTCCCTCCAATAACCGAACGATCATCGAAACGATCTTCGTGATAAAAGAAGTTATTATTATTATTCTAATTATTGGATCCACGAAATAGAGTAATTTAAAACTCATGACAATGAAACACCTCTCAATCATCTTTAAATTTTATTCAAGCAAAGATATTATTTATATCACATACCGAGAAAGTCAGAATTTCAAATATCCCTAGACTCTTCCCTCCAATAACCGAACGATCATCGAAACGATCTTCGTAATAAAAGAAGTTATTATTATTATCCTAATTATCCTAATTATTCTAATCCACGAAATAGAATAATTTAAAACTCGTAACAATCCATAAAACACTCTCGATCACCTTCAAATTTTACTCGAGCAAAGATATCATCTAAGTCACCTGACTAAGAAACTCGGAATTTCAAATATCCCCAGACTCTTCCCTCTAATAATAACCGAACGTCGAAACGATGTTCGTAGTGCCGAGAAGAAGCTGTTATCCCAAGTCGGGCAAAATAGTCGGCAGACTGTCGACCGGATGAAAGAACGATTGGGGGGAGGGGGAACACCGAGTGTTCCAAAGTGCGAGTAGAGACAAGAAACCGTGCGCGTTATCCCCGCGATGGAACATCCTCCTGTGTCGAGGTATCCCGCGATATCCTTGGCACGGATATAAAAGGAATTCGTGCCTCGGTTAAACGCGCCGTCGCCCAACGAGGCTTCCATTAT